TCCATCGGATTCGACTGATGAGCTGTAACAACCCTCGTTCAAATAATAATATACAATCACTCTTTCATGAATTATTCTATGATTGATATTAGCAATAAATATTGTTCGACAAGAACATTACAGAATAATGAACGAGAAGTAGAATGTAATGTTTTTCTCCAACCTTTGAATTAATGTTTCCTTTACTTCGACGCGAAGCTTCGCTTTGGTGAATTTCCAGTGCATCAAGCATAGAAGGCGGGAAGTAAGAGCAATTTTTCCGCGCGTGCTTTCTATCCAACGAGGAAAAGGTCAGCGCACCGTCGTCGTTTGTTCGCCGGTAGAACACACATCGCGTGTGATGTGCGGCCGACGTAAGTGGAGCCCATGGTCGATGGGTACGACGAACGGGCACGTTGGAGGTGCATAAACACACATAGAAGTGGAAATGCCAGGATTGGCAAGAGAACTGTCGACCGAGTTCGCCGGAGACACGGCTGGCCGCCTGTGGCTTCGCTCTGCCGCTTTTCGCCTCTTCTTTTCTCCCGTCCCATAGGCCTGGGACTTGAACCTTTCTTCCCTCGCGATTACCACCTTCCCTTTTTCAGATTCTACACCGGAGCATGCACACCACCGTCTGCTACCCTTCGCGGACATGACCAAAGCGGAGTGAAGCCTTCCGTGCTACAGGTGTACTTGCTAAGGGGTACCCTTGAAACGAGTAGCCGGCGATAGCATTGAAATGTAGAACACGGATTGACGATAAAACTGTTTTAAAAGACACGCGGTTAATCGATTTGTTACAACTTGAACTTGTTATAAAACGCCGGAGAAGATGGGAATTCAAGAGCTTCATAAACAATTACGAAATTTCTAGCAATCCGTTAGCTACGATGGGCATAAATCAAATCACCGTTCGCGGCAGATGCAACTGTCGCTGCCCGTTATACGTGTACCGTGACTCTTTTCATCTTGCTGCAACATTTTCCTGCCACCATCTGTCGTCGTGTCGTAAAATAGTATTCCTGCTGCTCGAATCATTTTAGATACACAGACGAACAGTTCATGTAATTCAAACGGGATGATCGGTCTTTAATACTACATCTACAGAATCGTCGAAGTACTATGAAAAGATTTGTTCTCCGACGATCCTACTTATTTCAAGCCCAAGCCGATCGCTGGAGATGAGATCAAGTTCAATACGTACTCACGAATCCGAGTCAATTTCAATAACCAAGTTTCATTTTATGGGTTTCAAATAATACCCAAAAGCAATGTTTCCATAATTGTATTTCAAAATATTAATTTTATGAAAACTGATATCAAACCTCGGAATGAGTACTGACAATTACTTCCTTGTTTTGAAAATATTCTTCCTAAAAGTACAGGCGTGGCCACTAGTACTGATAATAAAACCTGCAATTGAATTACAAGATATGTGTGCTTATGAAAATCTGTGAAAAAATGAACATAATTGATTTTAAAAGTAAATAAATGATGAATATAAATATTCAAAAATGTTTGGAATCCATACAATCAAGATTTCGAATATACTTGCAAGTATTACTTTCGTTTACCAAAGTACTTGTTTGCATAGATTGGACTATACTTAGGATTTCGGTTTCAATTTTTCGAAATAGCCGGTTCGAATTCAATCGATCGAAGTACGAATTCGTTCGCGAGGTGCTTGATTCCATCCCTAAGTATCACCATTTAACATTAAATCAAGGATCTCTTTTAACGAGCAGTAATTGTTTTTGCGATAGCGAGAATGGCTGCCTGGCCCAGCGTTTAAAGTTAACGGCGTCTACGCTCAATATTACCTGTCGAGCATGTAAATGGTTTCTTTCTTCCTTCCAAAACGCTTATCAACCATGGGACCTCTGGATTTTCTGCCTGCCAAAGCACCCTTTTCAAACAACTGGGTACCTCCCTATTCCTTTTTGTATTTACACCTATACCAACGACGTCGGTACGCGGCACAGCGCCTCGAGTGTGTACGATCAAATGTGTTGTTTCATGCTTGCGACGAACACAAGAGAATACGCCGCTCTCGTAGTGCAGGGAAACGAACGTCAAACAACGAACAAAAAATATAGTCGAAAGAAGATTTACCGGTAAAGTAAAGATGCAAGGAGACGTAAATGATAAAACGAAGACCAACGATAGTGCGAATAGATCCAAGAATGGAAAGAAACTCAGTAAAACAAAAAGCAGGACTAACAATAATTAATAAAATCGTTTAATGTCAACAGACTATACAGTGCCAAACAGACAGTAATGAACTGAAGGTTAGTAGTAGAAACGAACGAAACGAAGGAAATAGAACGAATAAAATAAAGGGAAATCAATGAAGGAACGAGAGAAAGACAGAGAGAAGATCCACTGCCGCTGCTCGGTTAATGTTGTACAGGGGAAAACTCTTCGAGCCCCATAGATCAATGGTTCGCAATTATTGTAAGTTCATTAGAGGTAGCGGGTCTCCGACTGGTGTTTCTTCCCGGTCGACGGTTTTCCATCTTCCTCCTCCTGCCCGTCGCCGGCGAAGAAGTCTCTACGGCCCGAAAACCCCTGTTGGCAGACCTGAAATTGCGACATTCCGCGCGAAACGCCGAAACTATTTGACTCTGTAATTTGTGATTGTACTTTATTGCCCGGATAGACTAACGGACCGTCGTTGCAACGCTGTTGCTCAACTCCCCGCAACGATTCCTTGCAATTTCGGGCTTGGAATTCCTACGGAAGTCTGGGACACGCGCGCCGTTATGGATTGCGGCTCTTCGAAACTTCTATCGGCCCAGAAAGAGTGAGCTTCGTTTCGGGCACACCGCCGTCGTGCCGCCACATCCTCTACTACAAATACACCTTCGTTTCGAACTTATTTACCGCCCCGTCAACCGTGCTCTTAACCGAGGTAGGTACCTGTCTCATATTTTCACACTGTAATTTATATTCATTAAATCATATCAAATAAGAAAATATAATTTCGTTTCAATACCTTTCTTCAACGAAGTTGTAAAAATACGTTGGTTGGCTATTATCTTAGGAACTTCACTAACAAATTCTATTCAGTTAACCAAAACTAAGAGTAGGTAGTTAATCTAATATTGAAACGTTGTAAAAAGTATTATTCCAGGTGCTCAAGTTCCAGGAAAAATCCAGTAATAGAAACTCAAAGTGGAGCGTATCTTCCGGTGTTCGCGAACCAGAGAAGGTCCGCCCCTGCGGGAAAAGGAAGGAAAGAAAGATTGCGGGCCAGTGTAATTTCTATTGCATTTCTATCTCGCTCGACGGCCGAATTAAGTAGGTCCGCATCCGTTCGCGTAATTCTTATTACAAAAGCGTACACGCAGCCGGCACAGCATTATGCCTAGCCCTCGGCCCGCTCGTAATTCCAAGCGCGCCACTTTTTCCCTCGCTGTAATCTTCATAACGATGTCGCGAGTGTCGTAACACGCTAAATTACTGGATCAATGCGCTTTAAGAGGACTGGCTTGCCTCCGGAAGACGATGCAACCTCTCCACGGTACGGCCCGTGGAGGAACACATCGGGCCAAGGGGGATGAAATAATCTTGCGAAAATTCAATCAGCAAAATGCGTCACATATTCCCGTCACCTCCCCCTGTACGCGTGTGCCTATGATCGTAAATAAGCTGAGTTATGCTGTGGGACGAGCGGATTTAAAGGCGTCGAACCTCAACTGCGGAGCTACACGTTAGTTCCTGATCGCTTCAAAAACTTCTCAGTTCTTGATTAAATATCATATTTGACTAACAATTTTAGG